TGATTTTCACGAGCTACCTTGTACCTGAAGTAATGAAAGTGGCAAATTACTTGTTCCCTGAGCAAACATGACACGAATGTCATAGAGGGAATTTATATATATGCAAATACATAGGGGTCACATTGGTGTAATTTTTACAAAGTGACCTTATTCACCAGGGGGCCATTTTTAAATCTGCATTTGTCTACATGGGAAAGGCTGAATGAAACTGCAAATACCTGCATTGTGTGGGATGTAGCAACTAACACAACTAATAATAATGTACGATTCAACACAGTAGAGAAGATAATTTAAATGGCTGCATTGTTTCTGTACAAGAGACTTGGGGTCTCTAGTGATTTCTACTACTCATTTAGGCTTTTTCTGAAGTAGCAAATAAAATATTTGTCATACAAAGAAAACTAAGAGGATGTGGGACTAATTTTCTATAAGATTTTTGTCTCAAGCATTTTGTCATGATTCAGTAGAGAAATAGGCTTGTCTCTCTTTGTGAACACTTGCATTCACAGGATCTGTGCATTTGCAAAAGGCAAATGAACCTTACTGACAGTGAAACTTCCCACATATGTAAAGCAGGAACAAATGAACTTTAAACAACTTCAGAGAATCTGTTTTATGTAAAGAAGAGAAAAATAAGGAGCAACAGAGAAGAATGCTGTTACTTGGTAGGAAACATGACAATTTTACTTGTGTATAAGTTATTAAAGGAAGAGTAAAAGCTATTTTTTCCTTTCAGTTTTTACTCCTCAACAACAAAGATAACATGAGTTTGTACTTCACCTAAAATCAGAAAGCAAGTCTTCTGGTCATGCAATGTAAGATAATTCCCACGTGATTCTCCTTTAATTCTGAGCTATTGGCAAGGTGGCTGATCTCAAGTCCAGAAACAAAGAAGGAAGAAAGTAGAAATACAAAAGCTTATGGATGCTACATTGAAAATACACATCTGTGCATGGCATTTTCAGTACAGCTGAGTGGTTGGACCCCATCTGCTGTTGAAAATGGGCTGACAGCGAGGTGCAGCAGTGACAAGGAGAGCCTGTGCAACACTGGAGTGTATTCACAGTTTGCTGTTGTTGAGCCACAGAGGGCAGGGGGAGGAATTCTGCTGATGTGGCAGCTTGTGAAACTCCTCTGCAGCATCAGATATGGTTTCTCCCTGAGAAAAAAAGTCCTGCAGTTTTTTTGTCACTAATCACCAGAAGAGTCTATTCTTGAGTTCATGATACCAGACTGGTGTTGGTCTCATGGAGTGTGCTTCAAGCAAAAGAAATCTTAGGGAGCAAAAGTAACAAATCCTGTGAATGAATCCTTGTGTTATGGTGTCAGTGAAGAGCCAGGCATAACAGAGCCATCTCACACTCAGCCACTGCCTGTTTGAATTGTGTGGGTGACATCTTTTTGTTATATTTTGAAAGCATTCCTGAACCACAAAAGGATCTATCTTTCTTTTTTCTTGCTTCAGAGCACATTGAAAAATGTACTCAAACATGGTAGACTTTCATATCCTCTTTTGTGTGAAAGTGCAGAGAATTTCTTGGGTTCATTTCCAGTATCTTAGGTTAGAAACTGAAGGAAATTGTTACACATAAAGCTCATGTGTAAAATTGATTTTCACATGTAGGTGTTTCCTATAGAATGGCTATTCTCTGTTTTGATCAGCTTTGTCTTATGTGGCATTATTGAAGGCTGGATGGATCACAGTGAGGGAGAGGTTCTGAAGAAAAGAAAGTAAATAAAATAATGTCTCAAAAATAAAACTATTCAGGTTAATATCTCTAGTTTGTCTGTGGAGCTCTGCATCACTTCTAGTAAAAGCAGACATAATTTCAGAGCTTATTTTTCCTACTTATCGCAGCCAGTTATGTAGTGTAATAACAGTACTGAAATGGACTCAATTTTATTTCCTGGATGCACTTGCCTGACATAGATCAGGGTTGCAGGAGGCTAATAGTTATCTCAGAGCTGAGGTCAAATACTACCAAGTCCCAGTGTTTTCTCAGTGCCCTATCGTGGGCTGTTTTGCAAATCCATAACAAAATAACCAGCATCAGGGTTTCAGAGCCCGGGTGATAATGCATGCAGTGAGATACTGGGCATATCTCATGGCATCTCTGTCCTCTCCTTCTTTTCTAGCTCCTGACTCACTTTGTCAATGATGTGCATCCATCCCAACCTCTCAGCTTCTTGGACTACAAACCCTTCATTTTTTGTTTCTAGGGCTGTGTTGCTACAATGTGGTCCTTGTGTGTAGCAGTACTGCTCGGAGCAGAGAGCTTCACATCTTTGTGCTCATGCAGCCTCTTGTCTGTCCTTGGACTGACCACTGAGGGTGACAATGCACACCATCACACTCTGGGTCTGGGGTTGTATAGCATAATTGCTTTGAAGGTTAACATCATCTTTGAGATTTTTCTATTTGAACAGCTGAATGTTATGAATGTTTTAACTGATCAGGGTTTTTTCCGTAGTTCTTCTGGTGGTCTCTGAACTATTAGTCCCAAACTGCTCCTTGCACTGATTTTTCTGTTAATTATGTTTATTATGAGACTATTATTAGACACAGTTCAGATTTTTGTCCTTCTAAAGGTGAATAACACTAATAACTAATGCAGAAAAATGTGATAAGCTTGTGGTGCAGAAAGTGGTGAATAATTTTTCTCATGATTGGGAAATCTAGCAATGGCAATGAGCCCAGATTTTCTGTGTCAAAGCTGAAACCCTTCCCTGACTTTGCAGTCTCACTCAGTGCAAGCTTACTCCTTTTTGGTGTGCTCAGCTGTGTGCAGGGATTTGCATCTTCACTCTGCCATGCATCCTGAGGGCCACTGTTCTCAGGCAGAGAGGTTGTTTTTTTCTCTTTCCCTGCCACTACTGTTTTTCCTGATGCATTTGCATTTTCTGATGTGCATTTGCTGCCAGTCTCACAGCACAGTGAGGGAGTCTGGCATCAGCAGAATACAGGAAGAAACTGTATTAGATTCAATCTTGCTTTAATGGTGCAAGTCCCACTGGGTTTTGAGCAATGTTATGTAGGTGAGGCAGAAAGATTTGATTTTAATGAGAGATGACTTGGCACCAGGAGCATAACAGGTGCAATATGAGAATCTAGAGTGAAAGAGTTAATTCATATTCTTTTCACAGAGATAGCTGTGAAAGAGCATATGCTGAATGTGCATTCTAGTCTCATTTTTTTCTTATTATTTACAATGACAAATAATGTATTTCCCTTTAGCTTTGAGGGGTTCATAAACCTGGAGCTGATGATGAATATGCAGTTTACACTCCAAAGGCACTGGAAGCAGTGCAAGAAGGCAGACCTTAGAGTGGTTCACAGCACACTGCGATCTCTGCTGTGATTATTAATCAGTCAGGCTTTCAGGGGCACACGCACCATCCTGGCTACAGCACTTTCTCACTCCTCTCTCCTTTTGCTTGATAAACGTGATATCTAAACCTCTGGGAAACACATAATAAATGTGTGACTTCTGTAAAAGGAAGCTCAGCACTGTTTGCTCTGAATTCATGTTTGAAAGGGTTTGGTGCACTCTTCAGTGGGTTGTTAGTTTCAGTCATGTTTTCTTACACACAGCCTGCTCATCAATCTCCTGGAGAGCAAAATTGGCCATTCTGGGGGAAGTGGTCTGGTTTCAAGTCTGGAAGTCATAAGTGTAGTTGTGGGGTGTGTGTTGCCTTATCAGCTTGTGGTGTTATATTTGAAAGAAATTTGCTGAAAGGAGAGGAATTGTTTTGAAGAAGTGGAAAATGATTTAGGACTTTCAACATATTACTGGTTAAATCTGTATTAAAGCAGTCTGCCTTTCAGAGTTGTGGTTGCCCAGGATAGCACTGTACACAAGCAGAGGAGAAGAGGTACACATGAATTCCTTTGGGTTTCTTGTGAACACAATAGGAGACAAATGTGCAATCATAATCAAGTAATGCATTTTTTTCTGCTCATAAAAACAACCTAATTCCAGGCATTACAAAACAGCAACAACTTTGTTCAAGTGATCAAATTTTCAGCTTTTTTGTATAAGTGGTTTGAAATAGTTGTCATTGTTCTGTTGACCTATCAGCAGAAACATGACCATTGTGTAGAGCTGTTTCATAGCCAGCTCCCTAGGATTCTTCCACAGGGAGGAAGTGAGAGAAGGACTCATTACTGTACCTCTTGCCACTCTCTGCACAACTGTAATCCTTAAGCACTAGAACCTACATGCTTGAAGTTGTCTTTTTGGCAGGTGGAGGGGTATTTTTACTTTGGAGGAGTTTAGTGAGAAATAAGTCATGTGTTATCTTGTGCTTGAACCACTCTGGTGGCTCGCTGTCACAGTGAAACCATCACTGAGTGAGATGAGGGGAGCTCTGTGCAATTTCCCTTGGTGCAGTAAATCAGATATTTTCATTACCCAAAGGTAGTGAGGAGAGAGGGTACTGAACCTGCCCTGCTCTACTTCATATTTCCAAACCCCTCAAATCTTCCTAACAGGATTTCTCTGCAGGAGGACCGGGACATGAACTGAAGGTCTATTCAAATCTGTTATTGCCTTAGGACTTGTGGGCAAAATCCAAAAAGAGCTGCAATCCCAAAAGTTAAAAACACCACTGTATGATCAGAGACAGATGCACAACCATGACTGGCTGCAGATGCAGTAGTGGAACTGCTCAGTTTATCAAAACCCGCTCAGGGATGCATGGGTTCATCCTTCTTGCCAGCTTTGGAGTCTGCTGTGGTTATGAACACTCTTTGTGCCCTGAGAGAAATGATGATGCTGCTGAATTCTCCTGGTACTGATGGGTGGAGGAGTGCTGTCAGACCAGGGTGGGAGGTTATGTTGCTACTTTATGTACCTCATTTAGAGTTCAGCAGAATTCAAGACTAAGATTGTGAGCTGGACATTTATAAAAACTTAGTCAATTCTCCTTAAATTAAGAAAAATATGTCTTTTTAAGAAATCTTAAGATAAATATTTAATTTTGTGTATTTTTCTTTTCAGGATGAATAAGAGATACTTACAGAAAGCAACAAAAGGAAAACTGCTAATAATAATATTTGTCGTAACACTGTGGGGGAAATTAGCATCTGGGGCAAATCATCATAAAGGTAAGAAATTCTGTTCTGTTCTATCATACTGTTGTGTCTGTGGCCTCCATCAACAAATTCAGAAGAGTCTGATCTATGTGACCTTTTCTCCTCATGTGTACTTGTGTCTTGTGATACTGGTTCACTAATCAGCATTTCACTAAATGCTAAAAAAGAGGAATAAAAAAAAAATTATTGACTACATTTTATCTCACAAAAATAGTTATCAGCAGATATATATGATGCAAATTAGTTCCTGGAATGAACCCTAGAAAGAAGCAATTTTTAGTAGCTTATATGATGCTTCTGTGTGCAGTTTTCTACCAAGATTAACCTCATGGATAATGTATATTGAATGACACTGTTTCATCATCCAAAAAAGACTGCCACTTTGCAGTATTGTCTGGTTTCTATGCTTTCCTCCTAACACCTGAGCAGGAACTTTTTGTGACAATGTGAGATTTGTTTTCTCTTGGTCATTCCAGCCCTCAATATGTATGTATACATACCAGCATAAGCTGTGATGCATTATTTAATATTGCAAAAAGGTCTTTCTTTTGCATGTGTGCTTCTGTTTACCCTAACACAAGGAACAAGCTCTCCAGATTCACAAACTAATGCCTTCTTATAGGCTAATAGGACTTGTGATCTGCAGTATAACAGGATTTTGAACTCCATTTCTCATTGTCATATAGTGTCTGTTGGCTGTTTATCTGCTTATACAAGATCAGAATAAACTCTAACAATGTGGGTAAAGCAGGCTAAGGAGTTAAACCCAGAGGAAGGATTCCAAAAAACCCCAGTTAATTAATTTCTCTGGTTCCATGTACATTTTACAATGTTCACTCTAATGATAGGATTTTATGAGCAGGTATTTTTATATATCAAGCTGCTTGATATTTTTCAGTTGTGTGAAGATACCTTTCTTCAAAATGACCCACTGATTAAGGACTTCAGGATGCAGAGACACTTACGCAGTCTTATACAGTTTGCAATTCGACTGCAGACAAAACAGTCTGATGTGGTCCAGCAGGCCACCAGCTGGGCATCATGCCAGACAAGAACTGTGCTGATACCCTTTCCTCAGCCTTGTTCCCCCTCAAACCAGAATACAGATTCCTGCTGTGGCTTCCCAATTTAGTTGTCTATTGGAAAAGGGCCAAGATATCCTGCATATAGCCTGCATTCAGAGTTCTTTTGCTTTGGTTATTTCTCTTAAAACATGCAAAAAGCCAATATCCAGACCATTTTGATTCTATGAGCAAGGGCTGGTCAAGCTGTGTTTGCTTCTGTGGAATTCAAACTTCAAGTTATGCTTGCTGTACTTTTTGGAAAACTGACGAGTAAAACCTATAACCATGTATTTCATAGAAACAAATTATAACCATAAGGACTATTTTGGGATTTAGTGTTTCATAATTGAGAAAAATAACATCCACCACTAATTGTAGCTTAGCTGTATGAGGGAAACCCCAGCAGAACTATACATTGATTATCTGGACAGTGTTTGTTGTTTAAACCTCAGCCTTAGAGCAGAGAGAACTTAAGGAATATTTATTTTTTTTTTAGATAAAAAAGTGCATGGCCCCCCTTAAAAATGAGATTATAATCTGTAGGGTCTTCTTTATATTCCTGCAAGCTAACAAAATGCTCCTTTTTCATTAATTTGTGTCTTTTCATGGCTTTAACAAAATATATAATAATGAAAAAATAATAATGAGAAGCATGACTTGAGTATTTAATTTGGGAAAAAAATTTGGAAAAGCATCTACTTTACCTGTTTAATTTCTTTTGGAAATAAAAAAATATTCAGAAACATTTTGGCTTGTGGATTTAGTAAATCAGCTGCACTCACTATACTGGGGATTTTTTTAAAAAAAGCAAAACTCAGAGTTATGCAGCTCAATTACCATTGATTTCCAAAGGTACTGGGAATTTGAATTCCCATTGTATCATAGAAAATCTTCCCCCTGCTCTCATGCTCTCATGGCAAAAATGGAGCCAAGGTACATTGAAGGAGAAGTTGATGCTGTTCACCTTTGCATGGAGTTTCCAAATACTGAGTAACATGTGAGTTTTTTCAACACTAATTATCCCTAGCATCATTAATCTTCATTTATAGAAGTCCTTACTAACATATTGACATGACAAACCCTTAATGACTTTGAAGGAGCCCCTACAATTCCAAAAATCAATAATCTGCATCTGAAAAAAATCTTTATTTCCTATTGACTTACTCATATTATTCACCAGTTGCACTAACTTTCAAACCAATCTCTTTTTCAGAAAGCTATTGTTAAAGAAAAGAAAAAGTACAAGAAGAAAAAGATCATCAGTGTGTGAAAAATTGTTTAATGAGCATTCTGCTCTCCAGGCAGACTTCAGGAGGAATATAAACAGATAACTCTGACAGGCTATGAGTAGGCTTGTTGCATTTATTTCTGGGATGTGGCACAAATGAAAACTTCCAAGTCAGCAGCAAGAAAAATAGAGGTCAAGGCAGGGCATGGGAAACAAGGCTCTGAGGACCAATTGAGCAACAGGGTTACAAGCTGGGATTTCAGATTACATCTTTTCAGTGTGATGTGTGCGGGTGCCAAATCCACCCCTCTTTCTCTTGAAAGTCTGGTTTGAAGACACTTCTGCTCCCATTATCTTGACTGATGGTTGGAGTTTCATCATTCTGGACAGTAAGTCCAAGAGCTAAGAATGTTAAACAGTGTTTAAAACAACACAAATCTTATTCTTTTACTGCACACAGGATTATGAGTTTTTCAGTGTGATTCCAGGATATGCACATGCTTATATTCCATTTATCCTGTCTTCTGTAAAAAAACCCAGTAACTTTGCTATTTTTCCATTTTGCTGTGGAACCTGATACCATGGTGATGGGTGCCTTACCCAAGCATGTGCACCTGAGAATCAGCTTGCAGTACCAGAAGCATTTGTGCTGAAGTGGCTGCATAGAGGAGAGAGGCATATCAATCTCCAAAAGGACATTGTCAAGTGTATGAGTCAAAAAACTGATAAAGACTAATCCTGGTCCTCCTACACATTGCTAGCCCTTGGAAAACAAACAAACCTGTACAAACATACAGTGTTTGCTGGCAGATATGGCAGGCAGGCATCAGTTCAGCATCACTGCCTTTTTGCTATTTCTGTCATAGGGAGCATGAATTGATTTGATGACCATTGTATCACAGCCCATGTTTAACGTGTCAAGTGTTGAACTGGTCCTTTGGAGAAAAAAATGTACCGATACCCCATTACAAGCACTCCTTGCTAGAGAAGACACTACTGTGGCATAAAATTTCTACCCTAAAATTAAAAACTATTTCAAGATACATAAATTTGTGAACTTTTTGATCACTAAGGTTTTTTAAAATTGATAATGCAATAAAATATTCTAATTAAATGAAGAGTGCTTTTGAATCTAAGTATAGTTTAATATTTCTCAAAATGTAAAACAATAAGTTTAGCATTGGTTTTAAATCCTGGAAAAAATAAGAAGTAACTTAAAAATATGGCTAATGATGAATGCTTACATGCCAAAAGGAATTTGTTACAGAACCAGAAAACACTCTAGGTAGATAAGTAGGTAGATAAGTAATTGAGTCTTTTTTATCATGAAAAGTCACAATAATTTATTTTCATTTAAAAAAGTCACTCAAAAGCTGGACTTGTTAATCTGATGCCTATTATATAGATACACTAAACTATCATATGAGATGCAGAATTGCTGCTCCTACTTGTCTGTGAATTTGCACTGAATTAGAAGTCTGAGGGAATATCTTTCTATTCACAAGGAGATAATGCAGAGGAGGAGCTGTTCCCAAATCCATCTGAATGAAGGAGCCCCTAAAGCTGATGGTTAAGTCACCCTTCTTGGATAAGTCTGCCTTTCTCAGCTGCCTTGCTGAGGCAGGAGCACTGCTGGCACCAGTGCTGCGATGCAGCCTGTGCCAAATGTGCCCGGATTTGGGAAACTATGAGAAAGTGAGAAGCAAGAAGCTACATTCCTAATGTTTTGGGACTCTGTCTAGTTAAGACTAGAGAATAGTCCCAAAGCTTACATAGGACATCTCTGAAGTATTCAGTATTTCTGTAAAAATACCTTCATCATGAGGTTATAGTGGTTTAGTATGGGTTTACATTTGTCCTTTCTATTGAGGATTTTATATTGTGTAGAAGACAGCATTCATAACACATAAATAGAGGGCATTTGTATTCAATTTAAAAACAGAAAGTAGCCTCAGTGCAGAATACAGAAACCAGATATAAGATATTTCTTCCACCTAAGTAACCACTAGAGAGCTACATGCTCCCTCTTGTTTTCCTTCCAGTGAGCTGAGTGAGCCCGATTGGAGGTAATGCCATTTTTTGGGAATATAAGATATGTGGTTTGAGGTATGGAGGGCACCAAATTCAGGACTCCCAGTTCCACTGTGGGGGATCTATTATAAGGGGTAAGCAGATGCAGTATTGTTTTTTCCTCAGTTTGCACTTTTTTGAAGTACCTATACTGTAACATTTGTTGAGGGATCTGACCCTGCTATAAATTCACCTTCTGGTTGTGTGGACCTGTCAAAGGACAAAAGAGTTGTTCTGCATATTCCCAGGTTCTTTACTGGAGTTAGAAAATAAAATGTCCAATATTTAAATGAGAGAAGTTGCAGGCATGAAGAGGAATGTGGTGGATGCCTTAGGAGCTGCCAGGTGAGGCTGGAAACTGGTGGGTACAGTCTGTCAAAATATTAGATGGACACATCCGCTCATGTATTATTTTTGTATCAGTCCTGCTTCATTCAAAAATTCTTTTGTCATATTCGCTGTCTCAAACATGGACCATCTTATCTCTTGTAGAAGTTTGGCGCAGAGATAAATTCTTTTAAATGAGAGTGCTTTGTGTGCAGCTTTCACTAACCTAATTCTAAGTGTAATTAATGTTTAAATATAGAAACAAAGGAAGATGATAGTTATTTTAGCAGGCATAGGGAAGAAAGATATTAGATGTTCTTATC